CCCCAGTCACATACAAGACAACCGGGTCGTCAACTCTATTCACTATCCTACGCATTTCAATATGTGTTACACAGTGATTAACAGCAAAAATTGGTTTCCTCCAAGTTGCTATAGCATGTGGATCACCACAACTGAGACCTGCAAGGAGGAGCCAGAGTAAATTTTATAGTTAATGTATCAACTGTTACAAAGCAAAAAAACAGTTCAACTATAGTGGTTGGAAAACCGGACGCAGCTTCCTCCATGTGAAAAAAATTGGTGGGAGAAAAAATTTGTGTCCGCACTGAAAAAAGTTTCTCACTTCGCCCCTACACTTTGGTGAACCAATATCCCTTTAACATTATGTAAAAAATTCATCACCGGTGGAAAAATTCATTGACACTAAAATTCTTTTTAAGGTACATAGTATACTTAAATTGGATTTGTATTAGGCTTAAATGTTCTATAATAGACTTCACTCATCTATCTGCTGGGCTCATAACACTCGGAATCTACAAAGACACCAAACTTGGGAGCTCAAACTTTTGATTTTGGAAAAAGAGGGTAGATTTGATTTGGGGGAGAAGTCATATTTCTTGAAGCATATTTTCATGTACAGGATTAATATACTTTTAGATTTCGTTTGACCCCCTTTAAAACTCATCAATTTAATTTAAAATTTTCGCTCTCCTATTTTCAATCATACAATTTCCAATAAAATAATATTTCACACAAATCGAAAATTTTTCATTCTTTTAAAACTATCAATTTTTAAAAAAAACACTATTCCTCCTATTATAAATTCAAATAATGGGAACCAAACGGGGGCTTAATCATATTGTTCTTCACAAGATATTTGGGCAGTACAAGTAGGCCTAATTAATTCTTTCCAAACCTCACAGGAAAGTAATCTGTGAGAGGGTGTTCATTGTTCAAGGTTGAGCATTGGATTTAACATATTTAAAATTGTTTCTTACAAATGCTTTATGCTCTATTATTTTGAATGAGACATTCAAGGTTGAATAATGAGATTTGACAAATTTAAAACATTAATATTTAACTCTTAATCATTCCAAATAACAGTTGTATTTTCTATTTTAGCCCTTATTTGGGCCTGATATTTCAGGCCAAAAAATGAAATTTTTTCACCGTTGCCCATCACTTTTCAACCATCTTTTTTGATCCACTGTCATATACAGGGACTCACCTTTCTAATTAACGGCTCTTTTTTCTTTAATCTTTTGAATAATCTACTTCAAATAGGGGCTTAGTGTCATTGCTAGTACAAAATTAACCGATACTTATCTTTAATTGTCATTACTTCTTCTTTGAAAAAAAAGGACTACAGATGATATTTCAAAATTAAAATGCTACACTTGCATAATCAAAACAAAATGATTAAAACCAACTTGTTATACTTTGCATAGCTTGAGAACTATGAGTATAATTTTTTGTAGAAACCCTTTCCAACTCACTCAAAATAATAATAATAATTATAAATAAATAAATGAGAGAGAGATACATTACTTTATTGGGAAGTGCTACATGTACATAATTGTCTACATAATGATGTTCATAATTACACGTGATACTGGATCCAACCTTTAATTCAAATCTCACACTTACACATCAATAATCGGATGATTGTCACATCACATTATGGATATCATTATGTGCTGTACAAGTAGAATTTTCCTACTTTATTTTAGTATAGCAAATAATGCAATTTTTTCCCCTTACCAATTGCAATATAAGAAAGAAAAAAATACACCTTTTTTTAAAAGAAAAATTAGAACATCAATAAAACAATTTGTTGAAAAAAGAAAAAAGAAAAAAAGAAGAAGAAGGAATATACCCTCTAGTCTCTGTAGGGTTTTTTTCATCCATCCGATATTAAAATGCCTTGCATATAAACTATGCATCTCTCTCTACTCCCCGTCTTCTGAGTTTCTCTGTAGGTTTTCAGCCTCCTTTCTCTCTCTGAAATCAACAATGGCTGTTGTATTCTCAGATCTGCACACTGAATCCGGCCTCAAGGCCCTTGACGACTTTCTCTCCGGGAAATCATACTTATCCGGGTTCGCATTCCGTGATTCTGTCATTATTTTTTGATTGTTAGTTGTTTGATTATGTGAATTGTAGTGACCAACTAATTATTGTTTCTATTAATTAATGGAAATTATTAACGTGAATATAAGCAATCTATATTTTACAATTATAAATTTATTTTATTTGTTTAATTATGTGATTTGTAGGGATCAATTGACGAAAGATGATATTAAGGTGTATGCAGCTGTTTTGGAGAAGCCAAGTGGTGATCTATACCCTAATGCCAGTCAGTGGTATGAAAGTGTTAAGTCCAAGCTTGCGGCCAGGTAATTTTTTCCATTACAATTTCAACTTTTCGTTATTGTTTTTATTTGTTCTTCAGAATTACATGGTAGCTAGGAGAAAAGTAATGAACTGATAGTTTTAATCCGTCAAGAGCACTAATTCACGAATCTGGGATCCTTTTCCCATTTGGTAATTTGAAGTTTGATTAAATTTAGAAACAAAAGTCACAAATCATTATATTGTGCCATTTAAGAAGTTTATAAGTTTAATTCACAATCAGCATGTTTGGCGTGCATTTAAAAAAATGTCAATATTTGTAGATTACTCTTTTTATTTCTGAAAAAGAGCAAAAGGTGCTGTTTTTGGGTGTTTATGATTATCTATTTTTGTATATATCTGACTTTATTTGTTTCTTTCTTGTATAAATTGATTATACAATTCCTGTGTATTATCCGTGATTAATAAAATATTTGATTACTTATCCAAAAAAAAAAAAAAAAGACAAAATGTATATATCTGACTTTATACACAATTGTATAGCTTTCCTGGGAAGGCTGTTGGAGTGAGAATCGGAGGCCAAGCTGCTTCTGCTGAAGCTGAAGCTGCACCAGTTAAAGAAGCGAAGGTAGATATTTCTATCCCCACCTTGTCATTTTATGATAGACTTCGATAGCTACATGTTAGTTATATTTTTTCATTTATGCACTCAAATATTATGAGTTTTTTATGACATCAAGATTAATAAAGTGGATTTATGATGGAGGAAGTTGCACTTCCGTACATGCTGTGTCTTTATGTTTCAAATGCTCTGAAAATTAAGCAACTTAACTTCATTCTTAAATGTATTAACTTGGATAAATTAACCTCCCAAAATATCCATTTTTAGATGTTAAAGAGGCTATTTCATCGTTGAGAATTGACATATTTCGTCGTGGTGGAGCATTATATAATGTTTCCTAGTGTTGGATTGAGAGAAATGGAGGGAAGTGCACTGGGAACAATGATGAACAGATGTAGAAGTAATTTGAGTGGACCAGGAGTGACGCCGGATGTAATAGGAGAATTATAGGATAAGGGGAAAGAAGAGGAGAAGCGAGGGGGAAAAGAGAGGAAGAGGGAGAGGGGATGATAGAAATTGGGAGAGAAATTAATTTATTTCATATAATCAAAATTTTTCTATTACAATGCAAAAGTCCCTTTTATATAGGGTTTAAACTAGTCCTAATTAAAGCAGGAAATTATTATAAAATCAATGAAATCGAAACAATAATTATGTTTCCTAGAATAAATATCAAAATTGGAATCTAAATATAATAATATCTCTTTCATATTGCATCAAGGAGACTCTTTGCATGTTTGAAATTTTTGTATGATGTGTTGACCACTTCATACACCCTCACACATATTGATGCAGGACGAATTAAAAAAAGAAAGAATAAACAAGAAGAGAGGGAGAAACCAGAGAGAATGGGATGAAAATCGGAGAAGAAGTAGAAATCAGGGAAAAGGGGAGAAGGAGGAAGCCATAGGCAACAACCCAAGCATTCTATTCATCAACTGTTTCAAATACGCAACAAAACAGAAATAAATAGCAAAACAAAAACCCTAAAGAGAAGGGCTTGGGACAAACCCACTATACAAGCCCAATAACAGAAATATAAATAATAATCCAAATAGAATATAGCTAATAGTTCAAATAGAAAATAAATAGTAAATGGATGTCCGCATCAACTCTCCGGGGGTGGGAGAAAAACTCGACCCCGTCGAGGGAATAAATCAAAATGTTGCAATGAATCTGATGCTAAAAACTCCAAGTCACGCCACGGGGGACGATCTTTCTTGATGACCAAATACCGAAACTCCACAAATGATAATAAAGCTAGCTGTAGTTTATCTTCAAAAATATGATCCAACCAAGGAGGACAATCTTTCTTTATAATCACATACCGATACTGAACTCCCAATAGTAAAAATTCATGCCACTCATCTCCAAAATCTTCATCATTGGTTAACACAACCTGTTTATCTAAAATAGCATCAATTTCATCTTTGTGTGCTATGACATGTGTTATTGGAGTGAAAATGATAATATATTTAGGTTGGGGATCCACATAAGGAAGTAGAAAAGGATCGGCAAGGAAATTAAAAAGGCCTTTGTAAGTAACTAAGTCCTCAGTACGTAAAGTAGAGTGGTGGCCAAAATGTGATGAAAAATGAATGACATGTGCATAGGGACCAACATACTTTAAAACTTTAAAAGTACCAGCACTGTCGGCTTGCAATATAACATAATCTCCAATATTAAATTCAAAATATCGTTTATGTAAATTAGCTTGAGTTTTATATAACACATTGCTTGCATTAATTTGCTTATTGATCTCAATATACAAGTCATGAAGATGATGCGCAAATGCTTCAGTTGACATCGACACACTAGCATGTGGGGACATGGGAATAAGGTCTAATGGCCGCCTAGACTTATAACTATGAACAACTTTAAATGGATTCAGATCTAGAGACCGATTTACAGAATTGTTATACGCAATTTGAACAGTTGGGGAAATCAAGTCCCAATTCCCAAGATTTTTCTGGACTAGAGACTTGAATAAATTGCCAGGACTTTGGTTAACGACTTCATTTTGACCATCAGCCTCGGGTTGGTTTGCAGTGGAGAATTTCGATTTAGTGCTAACCATAGGCGACTGGGTTCTTTCAAAGTGACTAGCAGTTTCGTTTTGACCATCAGTTTGAGGTTGGTCAGTAGTGGAGAATTTCGATTTAGTGCTAACCACAGGCGACTGGATTCTCCAAGGATGACTGGTGAAATCATCAAACTCTTTTAGTTGGTTAAGGGTATGACATATAATATGTGATTGAGAGTTGTCGGAAATAAAGGGTATAATTTCTAAAGTCTCGAGAAGGGTCGGGATTCCACCTAAGGAAGTGTCCTCAATATCATCTAAGTCATCAAAATCTTCGAGTTTATGTTCATAGACTAGATCTTCTAACGGCTCATCTATTACATTCTTTCGTTCTTCCATGACTAAGGTTCGATTAGGACATTTGGAAGAAATGTAGCCAAAGTCCTTACAGCTGATGCATAGCAAGTGAGAAGTCCTTGGAGCTTCAAAAATTATATCCTTATTTTCCAAAATTGGAGGAACATTAGATGGGGATGGTCCTAGAAAGGACTTAATAGGAGGAAGTGGAGCCAATGAAACCGAAGGATGATTGTCATTACGCTTTCTACATGAAGAAGACGACATTGGGCTATCACGACCTTTACACTTGTTTTTCCAAAGGGAAGGAACACTAGACTGGGAATGCTTTATGATAGACTTATGATAAGATGACGCTAATGAGATGGGTGAACGATGGTGATCACGCTTTTCAAATGCAGTACTAATAATCAACTCATAATCTCGAGCTAAAGAATAAGCTTGATTAAGAGTGGTGACACCCCGAAAGAAAAGCTCACGCCTAAGATCATCTCTTAGACCTTGTGTAAATCTATTCAAAGTCAAGGCCTCATCCTCAATGACATGACATTTTATTTGAAATTCCTCAAATTGAGCAATATACTCCGTCACTAATTGATTTCCTTGTTTAAGGGCATTCCATTGAGTAAAAATTTCAAAATTATCTCGTTTTCGCTCACACGAACCCGATCCCTATACCTACGATCGTGTCTAAAGCATTTTTTATCACCATGATGATGATGATAATGTCTATTATGGGACACTTTAGATTTATGGACGTTGGTTGAACGAGGGATTTGCTTAAAGTTGTTCAAATTAGTAGATAGAGCCTTACTTTCTTCAAGAGTAGTAATCATCTGGGTTTGGATAGCCGTTATTTGTCAGGTGAGTGCATCAAATTGTGAGGGGTCCATGTTTAAAGTAGTAAAGTGACAGGACGACCACTATGCAATTGTACGCAAAGCAACACTACCTAAATGAAATGCAATAGAGAGATCAATATGCAACAAGGACAAACAATTAAAAACAGCAATTTGAAATTCTCTCTCTCTCTCTCTCTCTCTCTGAACAAATTTTGGGGTTACGGAATCCAACTATGCAAGCTAATAGTGCTGAGGTGTGTAAATAATAAAGCAAGGGTCCAATTGACTTGTTAAAATTTCCAACCATGTAGGTAAATCGGATAACAATGGCAAGTTAATTCAGTGACTGATTCCAGGCAAGTGAAGTTTGAGACCAAAGTTATGAGAGCACAGCGACACAAAGACTCTAAATGATGCACTTTTAAAATAAAACAGCAGTATAAACTAATGAGAATTAGGAGATAGGGACTCCCTGTTGTCCAGTTGACTCAGGTGGCTGTAATGGTTCATTGCAATCAATGGAGACAGTTGGCAAAGTAGACAATTAACTACTTGATTGATGAAGTCGGCCGTTATCTGCAATCTTCAAGAAAGTTGTGGTGGGTCACCCGCAAAGAGGCTACAATCAGCGAAACGGCAGTGGTGGTTCACCGACGGAGACGCGGTGAGGTCTTGGCTCCTGAGGAATTGATGTGTGAATGTGTTTGGGAATGAATGAGTCTCTTTAATTGATGATGGGTGTGTGGGCTGCTGGCGAAATTGAAAAATGGCAGATGGAATTAAATTGTAACAAGATGAAAAGGTGTAGTGGATTGTTGCCTATGTGAGGGGGATGACGTGATTTGTGAGATATCGGTGCTGGCAGTGGAGTTTTTTGGATCGTGAGTAGGTTTTCGGTAATTGAGGGGTGCCGGTGCTGAAAGTTCGGGCAATTGAATTGGACGAATGGTCGACGAGAGGGAGTGATCGGGGTTGTCAAAGTAGCCCCGACGGAGGTAGATGGTGTGACTTGGTAGAATTTTGGATTGTTGGTAACGAATGCCGGCAACTGATGGTTGACCGACAGTGGGTGTGGAAAGTGCTGGCTGGATGGGTAAGCCGGCGACGGGAGCCATGGCAGTAGTAGGTGGGAGGAGTACTGTGTCGTGAGGTTAGCGTTGTGGGGGATGAAGTTGTATTCGGCCAAGTAATGGGCTACTTGAGTTGGGTTTCAATTATGGGCCTCCGTTATGGGTTCGGGTATGGGTTGAATTATGGGCTTGAAGATGATTTATTGTTTCAGTTGGGCTACTTTGGAGTTTGGACTTGGAATTGATTGGGTTTGGGCCGGTTGTAATTTGGTTTTGTGAATTGGAGGGGTGGGCTAGGGTTTGAAACAACACATTTAATTCATGTCTCAGCAGAAAATCAAATTGAGATGGCAACAATTTTTTTTCCTTTTTTTTTTTTTTTTTTTTTTTGGAAGAGAAGATGAGACTGCTCTGGGAAAGAAAAAGGGTTGATTGTGCATGACAAAAAACAGATAAAAGACAGACCGCATCACACTGATAGGATGGCAGAGAGCATAAATTGAAAGGAATTTCCAGAATTTTTTTTTCGCAACTAAGATAGAAAATTGAAGGAAAAAAGCTGCTGACTTTACCACAAACTTTTCTTTTGTGTTGTTCCAACGGGAAGAAATTTTGGATAAGGAGAAAAATTACCCAAATTCGGCTCTGATACCAAATTTGATGCAGGACAAATTAAAAAAAGAAAGAATAAGCAAGAAGAGAGGGAGAAACCGGAGAGAATGGGATGAAAACCGGAGAAGAAGTAGAAATCAGGGGAAAGGGGAGAAGGAGGAAGCCATAGGCAACAACTCAAGCATTCTATTCATCAATTCATCAACTGTCTCAAATACGCAACAAAACAGAAATAAATAGCAAAACAAAAACCCTAAAGAGAAGGGCTTGGACCAAACCCACCATACAAGCCAAATAATAGAAAATAAATAATAATCCTAATAGAATATAATTAATAGTCCAAATAGAAAATAAATAGTAAATGGATGTTCGCATCACATATTTGGTGGATCGATTTGTTAATGCCAGCTTCAAATATTTACAGAAGTGGAGGGTAGTGCTTAGATAGCAGTGTGTAAATTTGAGCCTGGGCTTGATCAACTTGAGGCTTTTCTAGTTATTGGTTATTTTTTTAGGTGTAATTTGGCATCATAGTATGTTGGGTAGGTCTTTCAAAGATATATGCTTGACTAGTTAATTATTTATCCTCTTGCTTCTCTTTCTGATGAATGGGAATAATACTAGTGCATGCTGTGGGTTTCTTATGGAATGCTGGGGTTCAACACAAACTGTGTTGATCAATAGGGGCTAAGTTTAAATATATTCTGTGTTAACCAGATTAATGGATGATGTTGATCTGTTTTGTTGGTCCAATTCCAGACTGTCTCTCGAATTATTTTGGAAATTGAGTAAAAAGGGTAGGAATGAGCGATGATACTGTTAGTTAAAGGGCATTCTAGCTTCAATCTCGAAATCTGTACTGTTAATTTAGCAAACTACTTGTTTGAACTGTCCCCTGTATTAGAAATTTGCCAATGTTGCTGGTAGGAACTACGTTAGGCTTTTTTCTGAGTTCTCGTTATTTTGGTCCTTGAAGGTTCCTTCTACGGACTTTCGATAATCAGTTTACCACCCTGTTTCAATTTTTTGCCAGGAGTCTGCAGGCGATGATGATGATCTTGATCTCTTCGGTGATGAGACAGAAGAGGAAAAAAAGGCTGCAGAACAGAGGGAAGCTGCCAAGGCATCTTCCAAAAAGAAAGAGAGTGAGTGGCATTATATACTTCAAACAAGAAATTTTCCCTAATGAGATATAATGAGAATCTAGTCTAAGCCTCTTTGTTATACCACCACTATATTATTTTGTGACGGGGCCAAATAGAAGTGTAAAGTCGAAAGTTTCGCTGCCAGAGATGATTAAAACCATTTCCCCCCATACGAACTTGTTGAATAGCATTTGCTTATTTGTCATAGTTTTACTAAATAAGATATGTACTTAAACTGATTCTCGGCTAATTATCTTTAAATCCTTTTACTTTTATCCATTTTTGAGTTTTGCAATCTGGAATTTGTCTCCAGGTGGAAAATCATCTGTTCTTTTGGATGTAAAGCCGTGGGATGATGAGACAGACATGAAGAAGCTGGAAGAGGCTGTTCGTAGTGTTGAGATGCCTGGCCTCTTGTGGGGAGCATGTATGGTTTACTCTTTCGTCTATATGAATGTTTATTTTCGTGGCTTTGTTTATCTTGCACATTACTACATAGCCAGCGTTTGATTATTTTTGAATTTTGTGATCTTGCTCAGCGAAATTGGTTGCGGTTGGATATGGAATTAAGAAACTGCAGATCATGATGACCATAGTTGACGATCTTGTCTCTGTTGATGATCTCGTTGAGGACCATCTCACAGCCGAGCCTATCAATGAATACGTGCAAAGCTGCGACATTGTTGCCTTCAACAAAATCTGAGGTCACCTCCATTTTCGAGCCTTTTGAGGCTATAATTTTGTTATTTTCTTTGGTGGATTCAGATTGTTTTTGGTGTTGTGTAACTTTATTAAGTATATTTTGAGCGATAATACTTTAACTAATTAATTGCCAAAATTATAAATGTGGTTTGTAGTCAATTAGAATGACGAGTTTTCGATGTTTTTCGTGTATTATTTGTCTTCTCGCTGATACTGTAGAACTCGAACAAGTCCATCTAATTGAATGGATGCCTATGATGCTCGAGGCATCAAATTAGGAAGCCCTCTTCCAATCAAAATTTTAGAGGTTCCTTTATCAATAATTGCTAAGACACATTTTGGTATTTCGAGCAATGTCGTTAGAAAATTTGTTCTATTTTTCCCCTTCCAAAGTCATATAAAGAAATTTTGGAACTGAATTAAAATTCATCTCTTTAGTTGGAATTGAGAATTGACGATAATCATTCAGTTCTTAATTCTAAGTCTGAAATCAATTCGATTTCGATTGAAACTAAACCAAACTGGCTGGATCGTTTTGCAGGAAATAAGTTGGTTTAACTAATTGAATAGTAATTGTAATGAATGAATATAATTAAACTAAATGTACAATGAATTAATCAAAGAATTCAATTGTCTATGTATGGATTATTTTCTAGAACCGTGTAATCGTCAAAAGTGAGTAACCATTCTATGCCTTAGGCGTGATCTTTTCTTACTAAGCACTTCTTCATGTACAGAGGCTCCAGCTAAGGCACATGGGGTGATTTTTTTTATTTTTTTATTTTTTTACACTATTTTATTTACATGGAGGCTTGAATCCACCCCATGTGAGATTGTTGTATTGATCCTGTAAAGTCAATTGCTGTAGAAATGAATTCAGCCTTTCTTACCTCATTTCTTCTACCTGCTTTGTTGCCTATTCATGGGGGATTTCATGAAGAAAGGCCTGTTTTGACATCGAGATGATGCAGTAAGGCAATGAGAAATTAAGAAAAATGGAAGATTAGACCTGCCAAGAAATTTCGAGAGAAAAAATAACGAGCAAGAGAGTTATTTACAAGAAAGTGTTATATCTAATCGTTTATATTTTTTAAATTAATTATTTATTTATGGCATGAATTTAGCTTGTGTTTGAGCCCCATTTTCTTCCATTAACTCTCATTTTCTTCAGTCAAAACTTGATGGTCAGTGGGACCCACGTTGTTAGTGCATGCTGAGACCCTGATACATAGGTTTGAAAATGTTGAAATCCAAAATTAAACACAATCACAATTTCAGACATTGATATTACTGCCCCTCTACTTACAACATGCCGTTTCACACATGAGAATAAGACAAAAATTGTTATGTCAAACAATGTTAGCATAGAATTCATTTTCGGGCGTGCGTTTGACGAAAATAATATTTTTGCATTCATTGCATCGAAACAAATTCACACATTACAACATTCATTCCAGTGGTAATTTACGCTTTCATACCGACTTCCAACAATAAGGTAGCGTTAACCTAGTCAATGTATGGTGTGTGCTATGTAATCTCATAACTGGGTCTATGACACATTCTCGTCCGCAACAGCATCCTCTTCCGCTGCAGCTTCGTCTTTCTCATCGGGTAACTCAACTTCGACTTCTTCATTGTCAACTTCCTCGGCCCTGCGGAAGCCTTCATTGAGTTGTCCATTGCGTCGCAGAAAATTATGGACTCCCATTGCTGCCACGACCACAGTGATTTGGGCTCGATATGAATAACTAGGCATCCTGTCTAGAATTTTCCATCTTTGCTTCCAGACTCCGAATGCACGCTCAATAATGTTTCGACATGATGAGTGATGAAAGTTGAACCTCTCGCGTGCATTACGAAATCGACGTCTGCTGCCACCATGATCGTGAAATTCTTGGAAGTGATAACGTACATCCGACCCTTTGTACGGTGTTATGTACCTCGGCTGATGTGCAAATCCAGAGTCCACCAAGTAATATTTCCCGTCAGCCGGTTCTGAAAAGTGTATGTCCGGACTATGCACCACGCGGGCTAGTATACGACTGTCGTACGTGGGGCCCATGCTTCTCGGCAACACAAATGTGAAGCACAAGTTGAAATCGCAAGGGGCCAAGACGTTCTGAGTGGGCACCCCTTTTCGCCCTATGAAGTTAATTCTTTTACGTCGTGGCAACACCGCCCACACATGGGTCCCGTCGATAGCTCCAATACAATCCTGCGACGTCCATTTCAAACCATGTCAAATACTCGAATAAATTATGGCAAAATTAATTTGACCACCGAAGTAATGTGCGGCAATATAAGCATACTTGGAACAATGGATATCGCTGTGGATCGGGGTGATGATTTGTAGCGCCATGGTTGTAGTTTTCATGAGGCCGGATCATGTCTGCTGCCAGCGCATCGACGGCGCGAAGCACACGCTTGAAATAATGGCCGACAGTCTGCAGCGAATGTCCAAACAATGTTTGCACTTGGCGATATCCCTTCCCGTGCACCATTACACACAAAAACATTCCGACTGGCTCGTATATATCAATGGTCGTACTATTTTCCAATCCATAGTGGTCTCTCAAAACATGTACAAAGTGCTTGAACATGGGCGGGTACATTCTAAACTCTTGAAAGCACGTTTGTGGGTACACATGCATATTCTGCAACATGAAGATATGGCCGCTTCGTGTTGTAGGAAATAAGTAACGGTGGGCCTGATCCGGCACGAGGTACTGGCCACCATCCGCTCAGCGATACAACAATACTGTAGCCACATCACCATATCCACCTCTAACTGCTGCAGTACATCTTCATCCGAGCCGTCGTTCGAACAAGAGTTCGACACAAGGTCACAATCGGTCTCCGATGACGTATGCGAACCGGACGTGTCTGTCATCTCCTAAAAGCGAGAGCACGACACACAAATATTTTCACTGTACGTGTCAGCGTCAAATTGCCACTGTGATTGCCATTATTATTTGCGTAACCCCGTTACTTCGCCAATTAGCACTTCCCTTCTTATAGCAGGAGCTTTTGCAATGCATGCACTCAATATTATATAGTTAGTACCCACAATTATTGATTCCATTAGCAGGCCTGCAGAAGGTGCATTGACAAGACGAAATATGCGTTGTATCATACGAGAAATCTTGGCTTCGACAGAGCTATTGACATATTTCAAAATGTCAGGAGTTGGATTCCAACCTTCACGTAATAATGGAGTCTGTGGGACCAAATTACTTATGTGCAAAGATTTAGCTCTTCCGGAACTATAGATGTGTTTCACAATTATATGCAGTAGAAGGACATACTGTTGATAATAATGGAGTCTACGCGAGCATGTTTTATGTGGAAAAGTATTTGCTTTTCTAGAGTCATTGATGTTTTGCGAACTTGTCAGAGTAGGAAGAGAGCGTTTAGATAGTGATGGATTCTGTGGTACGCAATTATTTAAGTCCAAATTTTTGTATCTTCCCTAACCAATGACATCACATCAAGCCAATAGGGGTAAAATTATTTACTTTACTTGATAATTGAGTCCCTGGAAGGGACTTCTTTCTCTATCAGTTGTTGCTTCCCTACAGCTACGAGCCTATTTTTCTATGCTGCAGGAGTAGAGTTAAAACCTTTAAAAAAAATTTGTGTTCTTGATACGCAATTATTCAGGTTCACAGTGTTTGCTGTTACGGCAGTAATAAAATTGTTAAACATTATAGGAATATGCTTTATTGACTATAAGTAATAGTTGTGTTTGTGGCCACGACGTGTTTCTACCCGAATTTTTCGTTTTGCAAGAGCTATTGACAACCTTTACGTAGTTTTCGGGTACACGGGAATGAAATATTTCTGGACATGCATGAAAACGAGTCACATGCACCTATTTTCATTACATTCAACACTACGAAATACATAGCGCACTGTGTAGTGCGTGAAACGTGCAAATAGGAATTCGAACAACAAAGTATTATTACAACAAGTCGTATGGACGATAACTAAAAAAGCGTACAAACGAACTCAAACCAACGACACATACAGTCGAAGCACGATTAGCGGCTCCCAGAACCCGGCATTTTGTCGCGTTCAAAACAATACGCGATCCACTTGTAGTGCATCTCCCGCGTTTTAGCTACACTATACGCAACACGATTTCCGAAATTTCTTAGGAACCACAACGCGAACATGTGCAACTCATCCCCGGCTTCGACAAGCCTAGTCGAAAGCAAATCATCTATGCATTCGTGGAGAGTCATATGACCCTCTTCTTTTGCATGAATCACAAAGGCCATCTCCCTCGATGCGCAAGCGAGGTTATCCACCGACTCAGAAACCTCCCTCGCCCCAAACTTCTTCCGCTTCCCCTTCGCATGTTTTCCCTTACGTTTCTCGTCGCTTCGACGCAAGGAGATATTCATCGAGGAACTCTTCCTGGTGTCGGGACATCGCTCGAATCAGTCGTCTCGGCATTGATAGGTAAAGTGTCGTTCTGATCATCTGAGTCGGAGTTGGCGCCCAAGTCAAACCCACGTTGAGACAACTTCGTGGGTGTCAGTGCGTACTTCATAGAGTCACAACTACCTCCAAACAGACGGCTATATTTATGGTAGATTTTCGTGTTGTCATTGTCCTTGAATTTTCCATACTGAGGATTCTCCTGCAATGAAACACGGGAGCATTAGTACAGCGTTATGGAGTTGTTCACATGTAAAACCGTTTCTAAGAAAGCAAGTGTAACTCAAGATTGTTCACATGTCATTACCTTAATTTTCTTCTTCCACCACCATTCCGGCGCGTCTATTCTACCCTCGGTGCTAAAACCACAAGCTATTCCCATGCACTGGAGAAGCTCGAACAGTAGTTTGTGGTCCATGCGCATAGCACCCCAATGGTTTTTCAACTATGCGATAATCCAGTTCTTCCCAGCATTTTTGTTGAACAATTCGCGTAATCGCTCCCACCCTGTTGAAGAGAAGCACTTTCCAAGATGGTGTCCCTCTGCAATGATGTGTTCGACGGCGGACATGAAGATCTTCTACTCTCAAGGTTCCTATCTAGCACACTTGCGGGCCTTCGACTTGTTTTCGAGGTTAGGGTTCGATGATACGGTCAGCATGGCGTCCGGATTTTGTGTCGTGTAAATTTGTGAAAATGTTGCACATCAGAGTTGTTAGAACTTGTGAGAAAAGAAAAATGCAATACAAAGGTGTCACTGAAATAGTCGTGTGGCAGAGTTGGTACGTGAATTTGCAATGCATGCGTCAAATACTTTGGTGTTAGAGTTCTGTGGTGTTGAAAACATCATAAAACACATAAGTGAAAGTGAAGATGCCGTAACTGCTATTATGAGCAGGCTGCTGAAAATTTTTGTGGTACATATGCACAAATCAATGTCCATAACTAAGGAAAGTGTACCGATCACATGTGAATAATGAAAGAGCATACGATGAGAACACAGTGGTAAAGCGGTGAAAGTTAGCCACCAGCAGAACATGTGATGTCCGGCAATTTAAGACATGGTTTTACTAGAGGAATATTTTCTGGTTTTCGACTAAACCCATGTCCCAATTTCCCTTTACGCATAGCAGTTTGGAACAATTGCCAATTTTATTTTGTTCATTGCAACATATATAGGTAATATGAAGGAAGTGGCGTTACAAATACATCGTTACGGCAACATATTAATAGGATAAATATGTCCAGTAACAAAAACTTCTATATTCGGCAGCCTTAGATCAGTTGACATAACCAGTTATATTGAGCAAGGAAATCAGTGGTCGTGAAACAGAGCAACATCCTATAATTTGAAGTAAAAGAGGTAGGATACCGTTCCACGTTACTAGGTAAAAGAAATGAATTTGTGAAAAGAAAAGTACATAGCAGGCACAAGCACAGCTAACAACTCCAAATAAGGGTGCTAATGTAATGGCCTTGGAACTGGCTTGCCGGCATTACTTACTCACATAGGCATGTCAGTTGCGATACAAACAACATTAAATTCATAAGCCACTAGGTGCAATTACATACGGAGTGGGGAGGGGATTAGTCTCACAAAAAAAGAATTTACAGTTCATCCTACAGCAAATGATTTCGGTGTCAGAACGCTTCAGACGCTGTGATTAGCGGCTGTGTTCTGTTCTGTCGTGCATGTGGACCGCCTAATCGACAGTTGACTGGCGGCAACAGCTTATGTGCAAGGTGCGTGAAGGTGTCAATAAGTCTAGAATGGAGATGCAAATCGAGGAGGGGGGGGAAGCAGTTGAGTTGAAAGCATACCATGGTTTCCGGCTAATAACCAAATCCGCCGACATCGTAGGCCATTTTCGTTTGCTGCAGATTGGAGCCTCAGGAATTTGTTGCACAAGTGGACTGCGAAGTCCAGCCCAGATGTGATGCGTCGTCAGGGGAAGATGATATGGACGCCGAGCGTGGCCTTCCACAGGGATCGACCGGCAACGTTCGGCACAGCAAATTTTTAACCGGCAATATGCAAATGCAGTTCTCTTTGCCACAGTGTAGTGCACTGACCGGATAGAAATGGAAGGAAATGGGGGATTGGGTTTTACAGGGAAGGAGGCCGGTATGTCATTATTGAAGGGCAAATGTGTAAAATAAAATGGGAAATAAGGGGTGTTGGCATCAATTGGCTCTATATGTTGTGTGTGTAATGAATAATTGAACCATGTGCCTGCTGTGTTTGTCAGAAGTTAGAATCAGATAAATTTGACTTAGTGGTCAAAAAATTTGAAAAACTAAATGAACCGAAAATGTAATGGGGCTCAGAGAGAGGCTTAATTAACCTTAGTCGGGCAGTAAATTTTATTAGTTGAGGTGATTAATTAATTATATTTATATATTTCAGTCCTAAGGTACCCACACAACGCATTTGAAGTTCTAAAAATTCAGAAAATAAGGAGTAATAAATATAGATGAGGACCCAGATACTTTAAGGCTATAAATTGAGACTGAATTTGCAAATTTCTCTTCGCTCGCCGACCCCAAATCCCTGAACTATATCATCTTACTCTATAGGGTCGCGAACTTTTTTCAAACCCTAGTCTCACAATTTTGAAAGAAACCTGATTCTGATTTTATTCCCGCATCAACATGGCCAGAAAGAGAAAAACCCGCACTTCGGAAGCTTCTCACCAACCAGAACCGGTCCAAACCCTTGAACCCGAGCCAGAGTCGGAAACCGATCAATCCGATCCAGCGGAAGCCGTAGAGGAAGAACCAGAAGTAGAAGAGGAGGAACAAGAAGAAGAAGAGCAGACAGATAACTTAAGTCATGAGTCCAAAAATGGCACCGTCTCAGCCGACTTAGAAAATAAGCCCTCTGACAACGCCATTTTACAAGCTAATGGGGAGGGTAAGAACGAGGAAGAGGAATTGGAGGAAGATACCCTGGAGAAGCTTCTTGAACCATTTTCTAAAGACCAACTAATCCTTTTGATCAAGGAGGCAGTAGCTAAGCACTCTGATATACTTGAGAATGTGCAGAAATTGGCAGATGCGGACCCAACGCATCGGAAAATTTTTGTGCACGGACTCGGGTGGGACGCGAATGAAGAGATTATTAAGTCTGTTTTTGGAAAGTATGGTGAGATTGAGGACTGTAAGGTGGTTAGTGATAAGAACTCAGGGAAATCAAAGGGATATGGATTCATTCTGTATAAGCACCGGGATGGGGCTCGCCGGGCTCTGAAGCAGCCCCAGAAGACCATAGGGAGCCGGACTGCTTCATGTCAGTTGGCATCCACTGGCCCTGTCCAGGCTCCTTCGAGTATAGCAACTGTTTCAGGTCCGCTCGTGTCAGATTACACGCAGAGGAAGATATATGTGAGCAATGTATCAGCAGAGATTGATATAAAGAAGCTTGTGGAGTTCTTTTCAAAGTTTGGGGAGATTGAGGAAGGGCCACTGGGGTTGGATAAGCAGACAGGGAAACCAAGAGGATTCTGTTTGTTTGTATACAAGAATCTCGAAAGTGCGAGGAAAGCATTGGAGGAGCCACATAAGAATTTCGAGGGGCAAATATTGCATTGCCAGAAGGCAATCGATGGGCCTAAGCCAACCAAGGGCTACTTCAACCACCACCAGCATCAGCAGAAGCAACATCACCAGGGGCAGCAGGGATATTACCATCCTAGCTTGAAAAAGGGGAAGTATGCCGGGAGCAGTGGAGTGGTGCACACAGGGGGGCACTTGATGGCACCAAGTGCAGGTCCAGCCATGCATTCCATGGGGTTGAACCCTGCAGTTCCACCTGCGGCTCTTGGGCAGGCTGTGGCTGCTTTATTGGCCTCACAAGGTGCAGGGTTAGGTATCGGTAATTTGCTTGGAGGGATTGGATCTGATGGGAATCAGCAGGGAGTGCCACCGACAATGAGTAATGTGGGTTATAGAGCTCAGGGCGGTGTTAGTGGGTATGGAAGTCTGCCTGGGATGCAAGGAGGATATGTTCCTGGTGGCACTAGACCGCAGCAAGGTGGTGCATCTTACATGGGTCATGGCCACTATGTAAGTTAAAGATACATGGATATTTTCCTGTTATTAAATTGTTCTAAAGTAAATTCTTTGCTGTGAAGCCAAAGATTGAACTTGCTAGAAATGAAACTTAGATCGAGTATTGTCTGGCCATTATTATGGAATGGTAAGACTGCTGTATACATACATCAGAAAAGGCAAGATATAATATTCTTTAATCCTTATAGTACTACAATAAAAATTATAAAACTGACAGACTTTATAGCTGATTTAGAAATACTGTTCTGTAGATTGTTAGAAAAACTAATTTTAATGAATAACACGGTTCTTATTCTCCAATTTTATGATCTATACTTCTAGTAAATTGAATTAACCAGCAATAGGACACAATAATAGCTGCATATGCACAGAATATGTCTAGAATTTATCAACCTTAAAATGAGCAATGAGTTTGGCCTGATTTGTACAACCAAACCACCGTCCCCCTTTGCCACAGGCCATGGGTGGGATTCGTCAATGTTAACCTTGCAGATTTAATGTGTCGCGTTTCTTGGGTTTCTTTGACTGTGTTTCTTTTGGAGTTCTGGTGGGGTCTGCCTGCTGTATGCTACCATTCCCAGTCACGTTCTCATATTCAACTTTCACATGGGGGTTCTCCGTTGAGGTAAGCGGGATCTTTCAGATTTTTAATCACTAATACAGTTGGTTGTTTCTAACTGTTGCACTGCAAGATTGATGTGATATTTATTCTGTCCAGAAATTGTCCTTATCTTAGGAGTGGCAATGTGCCGAGCCGGCTCGGCCCTTGAGCTCACAAGCACTTAGGCTCGTCCAAGCCCCTGTGTGTGTAAATTCCTCTTTTTTCCGGACTTGTGACCGGCTACTTATTTTTTTAATAGGCAGAATTAAAATTGTACACGAACAAATTGTTACGTATACAAGTTTTTAAAAATACTGAATATTGTTAAGAAAATAACAAATTATGAGGAACTTAAATATCATTTACCTAGGGGTAGCAATTAGGCTGAGTGGCTCGTTGCTAGGCTCAACTCATGGGCTACTCGGGTCTTGAGCTCGAGCCAAGCCCCAAAAAAAAATAAAAAATGGATGAACCGAATGAGTTTGGTTCGTTGTTCAAATGAGCGGCTAGTGGATCGAGCCACAACCCAATGAGCCAAACTTATGGGCTCATGGCTAAAACGTGACCCTTTGATCACACGACTTCTTAAATGTGACCATTGGGTCCACAATAATCACGTAGTTAATTTTTTTAAAACTCCATACACACACACCATTTTAACCTTTTTATTTTTTCACACCGATGCTCTACAATCCATTTTCTATATTTTACAATCTAGCCTCCATTCTTGCCAAATTTTAATGGTTGGAATACTATTTTTTGAAAAATGTGTGGTTGAAAAGGAATGAAAAGTTTTTTATTTGCGTGTAATATTATTTTGTGGAAGATTGTGTGATTGAAAATAAGAGAGAGAAAATAATGAGAACGAGAAAGTGGGCCAAACATGGGCCTAATTTCTCATTCTCAATTCCTTATATGATTCAATTGAAATTTAGAATGTAGAAAATAGATTGTAAAGAATTGTTGTGTAAAAATAAGTTAAAATAGTGGGCATTTATAGAGTTTTAAAAAAATTTAACTTAGTGACCGTTGGACATTTCAAAAGGAAAATGTGACCTTTTTGTCACATATTAGCCCGGGTCGGTCCACGAGCTGCTCGTTCGAGTGACAAACTGATCCTGTTTGGCGTGTCCTAATTTTTTTGGGCTCAATCCACAAGCCACTCATCCCGAAGAGCCTTAGCAGTCCGTGGGTTGAGACGAGCCGTTCGGCCCAATTGCCACCCCAACCTTGTCACTTGATGTTCTCCATTATGAGACTTGCCTTGATTCAGTGAATTATGATTTTTTAAACTTTAGGGGTTTTGTATCAACATTGCTAAGAACATTTGTCTCAGGCATTTATAGGTTATGCATTCGGATATGCTTTTATTTCTTCTGTATAAAACCTCTGTTCAGCTTTCCTTCATAATATTCTTATTATTCCCAATTACTTGTTTCACATTGCATTGTTTGATTGGCTATTAAGAATATTCATCTCTTATATGCTTAGTTTATATTCTTTAGTAACTATAATTCTAGATTTTAATTATATTTTGAAGGTATGAATCAAGCATTGGTTTACTCTATAATTATACTGAAATTTCTTTCTCAAACAAGTCTTTTTATGTTTATGTATTTATTGTGCAGATTCTTCATAAAATCATCAAACTTTTAGTTTTGGAGTCTGGTGATACTTCTGAAGTTCGCGACCTCATGCAAAATGACATCTTTCGTTGTAGACAAAGTTCTTGTTTCATAAAGACTAGAATTTAAAACATGTATTTCCTTTAAATCGAAGTACTTATGTTGTTGAATGCTTTTTAAAATCGTGTCGTATTTTGGTTCCAATAACATCTTTTAGAAAAGGATCAAAAACCAACATATACCCTGCATACGTCTCTCCAGAATTTTAAGGTTGTTAATCTACTATCTTTTCTACTATTGATTTTTACGTTAGTTGTTCTCTTTGCTTTATTCAAAATTTTAAGCTTCATTTTGATTTTAAAGCACATGGTGCTTTATTTATCAATGCAAAAATCCTATGCAACTATATTTGTAATTGAAGCGGAACGTCAATTCAATTGGTCTTCCAGTAGTTTATTCCATAGACGAATATTTCATGGTGGAACTAATTTTCATTGCAGTAAGATCTTGTTAACAGTTATTATTGCAGGAATTCTGACAGTGCAGGCAAAGCTTATGACATCTTACTGCTGCCGCTCTTTCTTTCATTAACTAAAAAATTTCCTTTTGATTTGTTTAACATAATTATATTTTGGTTGCATCTGAGAAATTCAATAAGCTATAGGTTTTTTCAAGTGAATTTTAGAATTGGCATCCACTGAATTCTGGAAAATGCTCTTTTACAGCCAAAGGATTTTTGCTCTATTTTTTTTCTGAAATTAGAACTTTCGAATATTCCTAGGTAAAGGAAATTTTCATATCAACCGTTTTCAATGTTGGACTTCAGTTGTTGTCAAAGGTTTTGATTTCAGCCTGTTGGTGGGCCGATTACATTTAGAATTTTTCTTTTGAATTGCTTTGCCAATGCTTTTTCAAAACTTCTTTCAGTCGCCGATTCAAATTGATACTGTGGAAGCATTTAGTCCTTTTGTCTTTTGGGTGTTGGCATTGAAAGATCTGAGGAGCCTAAACAACCAGCTGATGCTAGAAGGGCTTTTGCATTATGCCACTTTCTTGGTTACGAGTCAATATGGTCATAAAGATTGCACGGAGAAGAAATTTTATATGGTCAGAAGAAAGATTGGATTTTGCCGAAGTTGTTGATGTACATGCTTTCTGATCAGTAGTTAGTGTCTTGTAGTATGGGTATCATATATGATATTGAATGTGCAATCTTGGAATTGAATGTCTTTGTTTACCTGGAAATTGCACTAGGCCATTTTTTTTGGGATACAAGAGGCTTTATGGCAATAAGGATTGTACCGTGGAGAAACTATATGCGGCCAGGGGAAAGATCGGATGTTGCCATAGTTGTTGATGTACTTGCTCTCTGGTCAGTGGTTATTGTTTCTTGTACGTGTGATCATGGAATTGGATGTCGTTTTTGCCTGGAAATTATTTGCTCCTTTACGGTGCTGCTTAGATTGATTGTCATTTGGTCAAGTGGCTTGTCAATACACCCCAAGTCCACTCTGTGCTTTTGCCTCTTTGGTAAAGCCTGGTACCCTAGTAGAGTGGCAGCCTTTTAACTTCTTTTTCTCCCCATTGAGTCCAGTCTGGTTTGGTTAACGTGCCAAACATGCCATTAGCATTCATTAGGACACTTTGTTGCTTATTCAATATTTGCTTCTTGGGATGCTGTGCCAAAATATTTTAGCCACAAATCCCAGTTTGAAAAGTATTAGATATTTGTGTAGTGTCTTACAGATTGGGATTACCATTTAAAGGATTATAATTGTGGAAATTACACCGCTCATATAATATAATTCAACATTTTAATCACTTAAAACACTGCAATATGGGGATTCTACAGATTATAATCACTATATAACCCCAACGTACAAGATACATCACAGATGAAGGCAAATCTCTCAGTTTCGGTGTTATATACATCACCGTTGTTAATCTTAATCTGTTGCACCGCCGCAGACTGCATGAATGCATGCTGATGGTTTACATTTTGCAGTGAATGAGAAATGCTTGATGAGAAAAAGTTTTGTAAAATTGAATTGACGATTGTATTGCCATTTGTTCATTGATCAACTGAAATCTACCAACATTGTGTCTAATTTAAAGTTGTCTGTGTTGTAATTGTCTCAGTGTTGCTTGCTGTGGCAATGATATATTTTTCTGATTGTTTTGTATTATCATAGTCAAGCCAATAATTATGTTGTCGAACTGCAATGAGGATTGAATCTTTTGTGTTAGGATTTTTTCTTCATCTCATCTCCCAGGAACAATGATCAATTCAGATTTACGCACCTTAAATGAAAACATAACAATTGGCAGAATCTGTAAGCTACTGAAGAAAGAAATCAGATTAAAGACACAAGAATTTCATAATTTTTGGAGACAAATTCATCAACCACTTTCAGGGAATTTACCCCCGTCTATCTGCCATAAAAGAGAAGTAATTGCACACTGTTTATTACACAAAACACTACCACTCACCACTCAATCGAGAATACACCGGAAACTTAACACAGAAAATTCTCACAAGAAGTTGCAAAGATTGTCTACAGAGAACTCTCTTTCAATCTTACTTTCTTTCTCACACTACAGAATATCCCCATCTTGCTCACCCATTCACGTTAATAGCCGTGGTCCTATTTATAGACATAGGAACCTAGAGATATACAAGAAAATGTATCTAATATTCAGTTAAACCTACTACCAGAAAATCTGTTAGAATCTTAGAGGCTCCGACTAATTTTCTAATTCATTAAACTGATTTCTAACTATAGAGTTTAACCAACCGAATCAAGAGTCAAACAATTTTTTTACATTTCGGCTGTGACTAGAAACAAGCCAATGAAGGTGAGATTAGTTCGTGTCAATTACGTAGTAGCATCTTCATATAGGAGGCCCATCTGAACTTTCTATTCACGTTATTGTAATGATGTGAAAAGCAAACTCTAGTCCTCTCCTCAGTACATTGTTTTACCTATAAATTACATGGCATGTAAGTGACGGAGGGGGATCCCACATTTGCTGACTCACATCAATTATTCAATTAAATTGCACGCATTAATTTATTCAACCCCATGTTGGGCCTAGCTCGGTTCATTAACCTAGTTGGCCTATTTACATTTTTCAACCAAGGTATGAGATCTTAACTCGAGCCAAATCCTCTCTTGCACTCTCTTTATTTCTCGTCCAGCCATTGACTTAACCGTCAGAGTGCAGACGATCATTGGAATTTTTTCTCGATTGGCGACCGTTGCACCCTTATGCGGTATTCTAGTGTGCACTTGTTGCTTGCCTGGAGGGGAGGTGGTCGGAATTTTGTTGACAACGTGTCCGTGCAAAATACGTAATTACGTATTCATAAACTGGGACACCTGGAGTATTTGTATTCAGTTGTAACTTGTAAGTAGTCTTTCCCATTTGGAATTTAAAAAAAAAAAAATGAACCTGGAGAGAACTTGACACGAAACTCACCCCATTAGCATACTTTTTGAATCTTGCACTAAGAGAACGGTGGAGAGAGTTACTACCTTAGACTAATGGTTAATTTAGTGTTTATGTCTTTTTCCTGATATATGTCAATTATTTTTTTCCTGCTGCTACTACTTGTTTCGTGCTCCATACCATGTCATGTGAATAACATATCATACATTTCCAATACACAATTTTTTTATGGCGAATTTTCCAAACATATGTATCGCTTTTTGAAATCCCCAAAATTCCATACCTATGCACTAGTTAACTGCTGACAAAGTATTTAGGGTTGTGATGTATTATGGTAAACGTTATGTGTCATTTACCTCGTTTTACAATAGTATTATAACAACTCCCATATCACGTGACTTTAACCTCACACGTAACATTTCAAACACACGTGACAATGTCCAACCCGATAGACCCGTAGTTAATGTGGTCTAACTAATGTGTTTTGTAATTTGATTCCATATTATGGACCCTATAATGCAAAACAACACAATTCATTTGGGCTCGATACCAAACGTCATGAATAAAGTGGACTTGTCAAAGCAAATTCATGAATTCTTGAACTTGGTGGTTAAACTCTACTGCGGTGACGATATTGTAGGGAAAGTCTTTCGGAAAAATAGCTTGACATCATGATAATAAAAGCTATATCTCATTCTTATTCCTTTTTTGGATACAATATCATAAGCAAACTCTTGAATTGTTCAACATGTTGAACAAACCCTTGAATTGTTGGATATGTTGAAGCTGTCCGATTCAAAACATGAGATGTACCTGTACCTTCAATTTTCAGCAGATGAATCACGTGCGGTTATCATATGCTCTGCAACACATTCGTCTTCGCTTGACACATTCATAACATCTACATGTAGTGCATATGCTATGATACAGAGCCCTACCTTTTCAGCTCCATAGAACAATGAATCATTCATATTAATAAATAATTCACAGAAAGGAGAAGATTGCATACTTTAAAATTTCGATTTTAATAATGTTTTGCACTAGCAGTTGAACACTTCCTGTAATTACAAATTTAACATTCATATAGACACAAACCAATTGAATTTTGCATGCCCATATCCATTAGAGTCATAATTAATAAAAATCATGATGTAAGCTATTTCAAATTTCAGTAACACAATGGAAAAATAGGAAAGTTTCAGTCAGTATTCTTGGTGCTTCTTTTTACTTTTCAAGTATATTAATATATAGATCTTTTTTATTATTTAATGAAATGTTTTATTTTAAAGTTTATATATGATTTATTTTCCATTATTATTACATAGGGCATGTTTGACAGAAAAAAAGCACATTATCATTTGAAAATGTGCATTTTAGTTGTTTTCATTTATCATTTGAAAATGTACAATCCTAGGAACCATTTTTCGTCGTAAAATAAATGTAACATTAGAGAACTAAAGGATTCCATATGTAAGATGGAATATAGTATATCGAATCTTTAAGATTTTGAAAAATGACTAGAAATTATTAACAAATACAGCCCCTAAGATAAATTGCCAGTTCAAATACTGATTAAATGAATAACTACAAAAGTGGATGCTAAACTAAAGGTGCATCAATGGATACCTTCTTCCTCAAACACTTCTCCAACAGCTTCACTGGTCGCTGGTCTGCGGAAATAGATCGAGTAATCTATTCCTTTATCCAAGAAAAAGTCTTTCTAGTTTGCATGGTTGCCGCAGGAATGGAGGAAAGGGACTTTTACCGCCTTAGTTCCATGTAAGGATAACAAGGATAAGAGCCAGATTAGCGAGGAAAAGGGGAGCGATATAAATTTTTTATATGATTTTGTTACATGTACATCACAACTTACATATTAGTTTACCAACATATAATGTGGTGAGAGTTCATTTGATGAAGATCTCACCAAAATAAAATAAATTCATCCAATTTGTGTTTGACATCTCATCAATCGATAAAAAAATTATATAAATGATGATGTACAACAAGCAATTTCCTTTTTTTAATAGAATGCTTAAGGATTCTTCTGTGTACGGGGATGTCCCAACTAGGATGGCACATTATTAGCACCCTCATTATTTGCCCAACATGTTACTAATAATCAAAAAATTACAAATGGGTCCAAATAAAGCAACAATTGAAAACTACTTTCAACCAATTTCATCGCTGGACATTTATCAAACGAGTTTAGCCCATAATTGTAATCTGTGATGAACATATATAAATCATCGAGGGGAATGGTTTAGCCCATAAGGGAGTCACTTCTTGGAGTAACTCAACCTTTGTGATTGGAGATCCTATGACGAGGATTAAATGTATTCGAAACAGTCCGCACTACTACATGGTTCGTAATAACACCATATGATTTATGCTCATCCTTATGGATGTTAATAATTATTATGTTAGGAAGAGTTTCACCTTAAATGAATACCGAGGCTGAAGTTCTAACGAGACACGTATTGCACCCTTGAAGAACTCACCTATATAAGAGTTATCTATAAGGCCGTGGTAATAAGATTGAGTTATTCCTTATAGACTCTTACTATTTTATTTTTCTTTATTTTTTAAACAGCCCATTAGGCATTTATTCATAATAACCCTCACTTAAGGCAGAGGAAAACCGTAATAACAATCGAATAATCAATAAAATTAACGAATAGACTAAGCTCCTATCAATATAATTAAACAACAGAAAATAGCCTATTTTTTCTGACGAATGTACAACACACCCACCCTATCTAAGCAGATCAACCCTCGACAAAATCTTGGTAGTTCCATAAATGATAAGAACCGTTCTATCTTCCCCGTCGCACCTAATTTCGCCAACTCATCCACAGCTTGATTAGCTTCTCTGTACTGACGCGTGATGTGAAAGTCAAAATTCTTGAGAATTTCTATTAAATCTTCCCAAAAATCCCACAAGTACCATAACGTACATTTCCTTGTCAAAATCCAAGAGACCACCAACAATGAATCACATTCAATATCAACCTTATTTAATCCCAAATCCTTACACAAGGTCAATCCATCAATAAGCGCTCGCAACTCCGCCTCGTTGTTAGTGCCATATCCGAAGAAAGACGAAAAACCTGCTATCAACCTGCCCATTTCATCTCTCACAACCCCACCACCGCCAGCCATACCTGGATTGCCTAGAGAGCTTCCATCTAAATTTAGTTTTACTCTGCCAGCCCAAGTTTAGCCCATTTAACGATCCGAAGAGGTCTCTCTTGTTTCACCATTGGATTAATATCAAAGTTTCTAAGAAGTAATTCTTCTGACCTCCAGAGAGCTCGTTCCTTTTTCAGATTGGAT